GGACGAGGAGGAGTTGGAGTAGGAGTATCCTAGGGCGGAGGAGGAGGAGGAGGAGGAGGAGGACGAGGAGGAGTTGGACGAGGAGGAGGAGGAGGAGGAGGACGAGGAGGATGAAGAGGAGGAGGACAAGGGGGAGGCGGAAGAGGAGGAAGAGGAGGAGGAGGAGGAGGAGGAGGAGGAAGAGGAGGAGGGGGAGGGGGAGGAGGAGGAGGAAGGGCCATCGCTCGGACGTCCATTCCCAGTGCATTTTTCGGCTTCGTGGGTGCACTTTCTCGTGAGATGACCCAGCAAGCTCTTCGATGGCCCTCGCCGAGAGAAAATGAACACGTCCGAACGATGCCGCATGTCGTGAAAAGGGAAACTGTCAACAAACGGCGACCGGAAACGGCACCAAAGACGGCTCCCGGATTGGAGCCAGAGCTGGAACCGGCCAAAACCAATGGCGACGGAAGCGGAGAAAAAACGGCGTTGGAACCACGGCAACAAAAGGCAAAGCGGAGCCGGTAGAAAAACGGCCCTGTCGTTTCAGGGCCCACTAAGCCCTGGACCACTGCTTCATCCCGACCAGGTGTTTCGCTGTCTTTGGGCCCAGAAAAAGCCCAGGGAGCCCGCAAACGGAGAGACGCAACCTTTGGGGCTCTGTTTCCTTCGCGGCAACATGCTACCTTCGACCATCGATCCTCCTCGATCCTCCTCGAAGGAAAAAGGAACAACACGTGCGTCCTTCTCCTCCTCCTCCTCCTCCTCCTCCTCCTCGATCCTCCTTGATGTTCTTCCTCCTCCTCCTCCTCCTCCTCCTCCTCGTTGTCCTCCTCCTCCTCCTCCTCAACTTGACGTAATAAACCTGCGGAACTCCGCGCGGATTTCATGCATCCGCGCTGAACCCCTCTCCCTGGCGCGCAGAGCACGCCCAGGGTGGCGCTGGAGGCGCTGCCGGAGGTCCCCAACACAAATCCACGATATCCGCGCGGAGCTCAGATTTTTCCTGCATGTGCCGCTTTAGCCCTCTTCGATCGGAAAACAACAAATATACCAATACCGCTACTCGCTATTCCCCGGACCCCTCCCTGGGTGCCTGCTGACCCGAGTTGTGCAAAAATCGAGCCGTGTCAACGAGGGATCTCAGGACGAGTCGCGGTATGGCGGTGTCTTGAAGGGGCCCTGGGACACAAAGATCCCATGATTCCTTTATATTATTTCATATTTTCTGAAGTTTCATCTGCCCCTCCGATTCTATATTTTTCCATGTTCTCCTGGGAGGCGACGTCTATTCGTGCCTCTGTGTTCTTTGTTCCCTCCTGCATCTTTCCATCCCCTGAGTCTCCTCGAGCCCCTCCTCCTCCTCCTCCTGCTCCTCCTCCTCCTCCTGCTCCTCCTCCTTTTTCTTCTGCTCCTCCTCCTCATCCTCCTCCTCCTGTTCCTCATCCTGTTCCTCCTCCTCCTCCTCATCCTGTTTCTCCTCCTGTTCCTCCTCCTTCTCCTCCTGTTCCTCATCCTCCTCCTCATCCTCCTCCCTCCCTCCCTCCCTCCCGAAGCGTCCAGGCGCGCAAACTTGAAGGCGCTCATCTGGATGCCGGTCCAGCCCACGCGCAGCTGGCCGGCAGCCGCGAGCCCCCGCGGGACCCTCCGCAGCACCTCTGGCCAGCAAGGAGGGGCCCCAGACATGCGACGTCCTCTTCCCTCCTCCTCCTCCTCCTCCCTCCTCCTCCCTCCTCCTCCTCCTCCTCCTCCCTCCTCCTCCTCCTCCTCCTCCCCCTCCCTCCTCCCTCCTCCTCCTCCTCCTCCTCCTCCTCCTCCTCCACCTCCTCCTCCTCCTCGTTCCTCCCCCTCCTCTTTCTCCTCCCTCCTCCCTCCTCCCTCCTCCCTCCTCCCTCCTCCCTCCTCCTCCGCCTTCTCCTCCTCCTCCTCCCCGGCCTCCCCCTCCTCCCTCTCCCTCCTCCTCCTCCTCCTCCCCCTCTTCCTTCTTCTCCTCCTTCCTCCTCCTCCTCCTCCTCCTCCTCCTCCTCCTCCTCCTCCAGACTTTTTTTTTGCACGCGGTCCCCCGAGGTCCCGACCCCCCGTCCCCGGCACCGGCCTCCCGCCTCGAGCCTTCCCGCGGAAGGCCCCGAGGCCCGGGCAGGCGGGCAGGGGCCCGCGAGGCCGCCAACGGCCCAGCACCTCCCGCCCACGTCGTGTCCACGGCGCGAGCACGCCCGGGGCGCGGGGGCCGCCCGCCGAGCGGCCGCCGCCAGGGCCTGGAGGCCCCGACCTCCTCTCGCGCCGCGGCGGGCGGCCGTGCAGCTCCCCACCGGGGCCGCCCCGAGGCTGCCGCCGTGCCCTGCTCCGCCTGCTCGCCCGCCGGCGCCGCCGCGGGAAGCGCGCGGCGGCTGTCGCGGGGGGGGCGCGCCGCCGCAATCGCGCGCGCGCGCGCCCCGCTCGCGCCGAGGTGGGCACCCTGCGCGCACGAGCTCACAGCTCGAATGCAGGCAGAGCTCGGGGCGGCGAAATCGCGGGGGGGGGGGGGGGCAGGGAGGGACGGGGGGGGCACACCGCGTGGGAGGGCAATCGGAGGGCCCGTGGCCGGTGGCTTGGTGAATCCTCCCCGCCCCCTGTTTTCTCTTCTCCTCCTCCGTCCGCGGAGGAGATCCGTGCCCCCCTCTCCTGGCCCTACGTCGCATCCTCTGCCTCCTCCTCCTCCACTTCCTCCCGCCGTCCGCCGCCTCCTCCACAGCGCGCGCCCGGCCCGACAGGGCGCTCTCTGTCAGTCGTGCATCTCATTGCGACTGCGTTCGCAGGATGGCATTCTGCCTCAGCGCTGGCCCGGGCAACTCTCGCTTGGTGGCGAGCGAGGGGGGGAAATGAGAAGGAGAAAAGCCCTTCTCCTCAGAAGGCTCGGAAGTTCCCTGGCCTCTTGAACAGTTTTCTCAGCCGCCTTCCCCGAAAACACCAAACGTCTCTCAGAAGGCGCGAGGGCTCCTGAGAAGTGCCGCCGCCTTCTGAGAGGGCCTTCTCCTTCTCACTTCCCCCCCTCGCTCGCCGCCGACTCGTGCGTGTGGCCAGGTGCTGCAGGTGACTGTGGGAATGTCCACGCACGCGCCTCGCCATCGCTCGGACGTCCATTCCCTGTGCCTTTTTCGGTTTCGTGCGTGGCTTTTCGCCACATGATCAAGGATGCTCCTCGATTGTCCTCGCCGAAGGAAAAATGCACACGTCCGAGCGATGCCAAGGCGCTCTCTTTCGTTCTCCCCCCCCCCCCCGCGGCCCAGCCCTGGGCTCCTGCCGAGATCCTCCCGCGCCCCCGCGTGCTTTCCGGTGTCGGAGCGCGCGTCGCGCTCACCCGCATGGGCTCTCCGTTGCTGGCCTGTGGGCCCAAGACAGCTCCACCAGCACTCGCAGAAGCAGCGGGACTGCAAAACGTAAGACTGGAAGACGGCGGTCTGCAGAACGAGCAGCGCTCGTGGCTTCGATGGTACGGCAGTGCTGCACTGGCTGCTAGAGTTGCACCGCGCTCGATTGGCAGGCATTTCCGATCCCATGACACTGGAACCATTTAGCGGAATGAGCTCTAAACATGGGCAGTCGTGTGCGCTTTAGGCGCACGGCAGCGGGAATGGGGGCAGCAAAGCACTGCGCCCTGTGAGAAGACCCTAAGCAACCGACGCGCAAGCATCCATGGGAAGCGCACTATCGACCCGCACTGCCCACAGCTGTTTAAGTCTAAGCCTTGAGCTCCCTTGCGACACCCTGAAGAGTTGTGAAGCTGTTGCCGTTGCCATGTACGAAACAAATGCTACCGTTTGTCAGCTTGCTCTGGATACTCTTGCCCGTGCTGGTGCTGTTGACTTCCAGCGGGAGGTTGCCGAGCTTCATGTTATGGAGAGAAATTGACAGGTCGCCAGCGTAGTCAAGAGTCACAGTGGCAGGGTTCTTCAAGTAATACTCGTTGAACCATCGATTGTCCCAACCAGTGTAGGTTGTCCCAAGTTCTGCAATCATGTCGATGAGAGCGTCAATAGTACCCATAATGAAGCCGGAATTGGCGTACATGTACTTTGGTGAGGAACTGCACGGGCCTAGGCTGGGGTCGGTGCAGTCAGCGTACGTCGACTCCCAGTCAGCGGGCACGCTCACGTCCGAAAGCACGTCGGCCCTCCTTCCCTCAACCCAGCTAGAGCTACTCATGTTATAGCTCCACCCGAGGTCGGCTGGCCAAGGACTCAGCTCCGCCGCCATCACGATCTTCTGCGAGCCGCCACTTGCGCTGACGATCCTGTTGTACTTGTAGACGATTGTGTTCTCGTCACAGCCGCCGTACAGGACATCACCGTTGGAATGGATGATGGCCAACCGCGTAGCACTCCCAATCCCGCGGTCAGCCCAATATTCCAGCCACTCCTTCGCAGCAGACCACCTCATCCTCTGCCACTGCCACACAGTCAGATCGCCCACAGGGTTCGTCAAACCATTCAAATGCTTGATCTCCTCACCTCCTTTTCCCGTGTAGCGGAAATTCGACGGAGGCTGTGTAACATTGAGGGAGTCTTTGACCAAGGCTCTGCCAATCAGAACGTTTGGTGGGAATCCTTGTGTTTCTCGTGAAGTCTGCAATGAGCTCAGGTGGATCTCAGTAGCAGCAGAATCCTTAATTGGAAACTCGCCCACGTAGCCAACATCCCTGAACGATGGCGTGTCCCTGTAGATTTCCCAAGGGATGCTCAGGAGCGTCTGCCTGTTGGACAGCACCTCGTCCGCAAGCTCTGTGATGAGACTCTCACCCTCGCTGGCGGCTGGACCGACGCAGACCAAGCTGACCAGGGCCAGCAGCATCACGCCTGTGGTCATCGTAGCTGCACAAGGGGCCTACGCAGAACGATCGGTATCGGGAGTCAGACCAACCGTGGGCTCCTGGGCCTGAGCCAGAAAATCTCTACGGAGGCTCCCACGCGTACGTTTGGCAGCCGTCGGGCAGGGTCGGAAGCCTGCGTGGACGCCTGCTGGAGACCTGGCTGGGGGATACATGCAACACCCGCAACAACGCCATGCTGATTGTTGCTAGGTCTTGTTGCTAGACCGTGTTGGAATTCACGCACCAGGGCCGCGCTTCAGAATCCGTCAGGCTCCTGGAGGCCTTTGAGCCCTCGTGGACTGTGTGGCGCCCCCGGACGCCGTGTGAGGGGCTCTCTGGCGTCCCCGGAGGCTGTATCTTGCCATCGCTCGGACGTCTATTCCACGTGCGTTTTTCGATTTCGTGCGTTTTGTTCGCAAGATGGTTCAAGTTCCTCCTCGATGGTCCTGGCCAAGGAGAAAACACAAACATGTCCGAGCGATGCCAAGGCATGGGAGGCTCTCTCAGCTCTCTGAGTACTCTTGGGGTCAATTTGGGGCCCTCCGGGGGGCGGTCTTGGGGTCCCTTCGGCCGTTTGGGCACCCTCTAAGGCAGTCTTGGGGCCAGCTTGGGGGCGTCTCCGGCCGCCTTGGGGTCTTCTTGCGTCGTCTTGGGGCCCTCTTCGAGCCCTCGTGGGCAGTCATCTTTTTGACTGGAGCGACAATCGCTTGGACCCAAGCTTTTGTTGCAAGTGCTCCATGTGCAGCCTCCTTGCGCACCAGCCGAATGCTCCAGTCAAATTCCATGGCTGCCTTCAACCGTCTTGCATCCCCTTCCGATGCTCAAGGAAATCGCAGAGTTCCACTTCCGCCATGCTCCATGAGGGAGCTTCTGCGTCGAGGTCCGCAACGACCAGCTGTCCACGAGAGAGCCTCTCCAATCGATGGGCAATCTCTCCGGCCCAGGCGTTCGCTCGCGATTCACACTCGGCAGGACAACTGGTATCCACGAACTCAAGCTCGTGTAGTATGTGTGCACCAAGCTCCTCGCACGCTTGATTTAGGTGAATCGCACCCTGAGTTGATCGAAACGCGCTTTGCCTATCAATCGGCCCCGATCCGAAGAGAGCAAAACTGGTTGGCCCGCGCAGCCCCGACGCTGATGCTTTGTAAGCGCGGGAGCCGTTGGCGATGTCCATGAGGTCCCTGGTTAATCTTCGCACAAAAACATCATCTGCTTCGCCATCGAACAGGAAACCTCGCAGGCGAATGACACTGACCACAACATGCGTGTCCATGAATGGCGCCAGACCACATGGCGCAAAGCGGCGCACGTTCAAAGCGATCGTGGGTGACTCAGCCAAGAGCCTGCACAATGTACTTTCGATTGCGGCAGCACAAAGGTCGATTCGTGAGCCGTCTACGTTGCCACAAGATGTGTAGAGCACCACTGGCAACCGGCGATATTTCTCCAGTACGAATGCAAGATCAAATGGCAGACCCCGCCTCATAGCCGACAAGGTCGCCATGGGGCCAATAACATGTCGCGGTCAACACTGACTTGAGCCAACATGGGAACGGAAGCACTCGTGGGTCGTGTTGAGGTCATCTTGGAAGCCTCGGGGTCCGATTTGGGATGTCAGCAACTCTGACAGCGAGAGCGCTAGAATCCTTGCAACATCATTTCGGATTATTGAAGTTCTCCGGGGGTTCTTTTAGGATCATCTTAAACCATTTTTGAACGCTCTGGGCTACACCCAAGGTGCCTCGATGCCCGCCTGTATGATACGCCATGCGGACAACAAGTGAACCAACGTGATACGTGCGCCTTGCATTCACATCCTTCTTTGTCGCTCCCAAAAAACCTACGCCCGTTCGCTATCCAATCGGCTCCCAGGACAAGGGCGGAAGAAGGCAGGAACCCTACAGGAAACCGGCAGGGACCCTGCACCACGCGGCTGCAGGCGATACGGGCGCCTCTGGAGGTCCAACTGTGTTCCAGGACGGTCCAAGGTAGGCCCCGAGATGCTTCCGAGAAGCACACTGTGGATCCGAGATGGCCCAGGAGCGCCCCAAGATGGCCCAACACAGGCGGTAGGAGGACGCCCTGGGGTAACTCAGGAAACATCCTGGGTCTTCTGTGGGCGCTCAAGGTGGGGAGTCTTTCCAAGCTGGCCTGGGATCTTACGAAAAAGACAAGAAACGTGCCTTGCGCGAGATGGCGCAGCGACCTTTCGCGGTGGCTTACGCAGGCCGCAACCGCGCCAGGCCACATTGGGAACAAGGAAGCTTACGCGCGACCTCACGCGGGCAGCTCACACTCCGATGCCGGGGTGAAGAGCCTGTTTTTCCCAACCATCCTGTGGTGTTGGGTCCTCGTTTTGAAGAGACGGCGCCCCGCGTTCCTCACCTCCTCCTCCTCCCCCCCCCCTCCCTCCTCCCATCATCATCATCATCATCATCATCATCATCATCATCATCATCATCATCATCATCATCATCATCATCATCATCATCATCATCATCATCATCATCATCATCATCATCATCATCACCACCGATTTCGGCACACCCATCACACGTTTCGTGGCCCCATAGGGAGCTCCACCGAAGGCCCCAGTGGCAGGGTCCGCATGCCTCCCCACCACCCATTTCGGCACACCCCTCACACGTTTCGTGGCCCCATAGGGAGCTCCACCGAAGGCCCCAGAGGGTCCGCAGGCCTCCAGTGCACCACCCATGTCCCCACCACCCATTTCGGCACACCCCTCACACGTTTCGTAGGGAGCTCCACCGAAGGCCCAGTGGCAGGGTCCGCATGCCTCCACCACCCATTTCGGCACACCCCTCACACGTTTCGTGGCCCCATAGGGAGCTCCACCGAAGGCCCCAGTGGCTGCGTCCGCATGCCTCCCCACCACCCATTTCGGCACACCCCTCACACGTTTCGTGGCCCCATAGGGAGCTCCACCGAAGGCCCCAGTGGCAGGGTCCGCATGCCTCCCCACCACCCATTTCGGCACACCCCTCACACGTTTCGTGGCCCCATAGGGAGCTCCACCGAAGGCCCCAGTGGCTGGGTTCGCATGCCTCCCCACCACCCATTTCGGCACACCCCTCACACGTTTCGTGGCCCCATAGGGAGCTCCACCGAAGGCCCCAGTGGCCTGGTTCGCATGCCTCCCCACCACCCATTTCGGCACACCCCTCACACGTTTCGTGGCCCCATGGGGATTTCCACTGAAGGCCCCAGTGACTGACTGGGTTCGCATGCGCCCCCACACCCATTTCGGCACACCCCTCACACGTTTCGTGGCCCATAGGGAGCTCCACCGAAGGCCCCAGTGGCTGCGTTCGCATGCCGCCCCCACACCAACTTCGGCACACCCCTCACACGTTTCGTGGCCCCATAAGGAGCTCCACCGAAGGCCCCGGTGGCAACGCTCGCATGCCGCCCCCACACCCATTTCGGCACACCCCTCAAACGGTTCGTGGCCCCTTAGGGAGATCCACCGAAGACGGTACTCACACCAGCATTACTCACAACTGCATATGGTTGGGTCCTTCGCCAGGCAAATTTTTGGGCGGCGCGCACAAGGGGGTATGGGCAAGGGGGGAAGGCTTCTCAGAAGGAGGCTGGCTCTTGGAAGGCGCCGGCCCTGCACCTGCAGATGAGGCCCGCGCCTCCCGAGAAGCAGGGGTGCTTCTAGGAAGCCTCCGCGCCTCCCGAGAAGCAGGGGTGTTTCTCTTATTGCCTCCGCGCCTCCCGAGAAGCAGGGGTGCTTCTAGGAAGCCTCCGCGCCTCCCGAGAGGCAGGGGGTGCTTCCAGGAAGCCTCCGCGCCACCCGAGAAGCAGGGGTGCCTCTGGGAGGCCTCCGCCCCTGGCCCCATGCCTGGGCTCCGCGCAGGAGTGCTCCCGGGCAAGACCGACCTCCGAGGTGGCCAAGTCCGGGAGCGCAGGCAGCCGCTGCCGCGGCGCGCTCAGCGATCGGGGGGGGGGCCCCGAGGAGCCCGCACCAGAGGTCACTCAGGCGACGGGTCGCTGTTCCGCGCAGTCGAGTACCCCCCCCTCTGCGCGGGGGCTGCCGGGTGAGGAGAACAATTGTCGCGTTGGGAGGAGGGGGCTGGGAGGATGAAGGGTGTGAGCAACCAAATCTGGATGCAACGAACGATACCTGCGGCCGCCTGCGGGTAATCCGGCAATGGGCAAACCTCCCTTCGGTAAACCACCCTTTTCGTGAAAACGGCCTAAGACCGAAACTCACGGACCTGAACCCGCAAAAACGACGGCCGCGACGCCCTCTCGCGAACCTCAAACAATTCGCCAATCGACGTGTCAGGGCAGGAGGCTTATCGAACTACGAGTAATGATATCCTCTTTTCTCCCAGCCCCATCCTCCCAGCCCGACAACTGTCTTCCTGAGTGGGAGGCCTGGGACACCCCCGCTTTGAGCAGGGAACGACCGCCCCGGCATTTCTATAGGCCTACCACGAAATTTTCGTAGAACCCAAACATGTTCTAAGAACCCAAACATGTTCTAAGAACCCAAGCGTGTTCTAAGAACCCACGCATCTTGGAACGAAAACCCGGTGTGCTAAACCAACACAGCCCCGGCCGGAGATGTTCCAAGAACGCGTCGTGGAAACCACGACAAGGCTCTTAAAACACTGTCTGGTGGGCCTGCACATATAGGGACGCCAAGACGCCCCGCCACTGCTTCACCGCCGGGCGCGCCCCCGGCCGGTGGCGGGCCGCGGCGCCAGGGGCTGCAGCGGTGCCGCCGCGGCGCCCGCGGCAGGCGGGCCGTGGCCTCGGCGGCGCAGCTAAGCCCTGCGAGCCTCGTGCCTCGCTCCCTCCCCTCCCTCCTCCCCTCTCTCTCCCCTCCTTCCTCCTCCTCCTCCTCCTTCTCCTCCTCTTCCTCCTCCTCCTCCTCCTCCTCGGTTTTTTCTTCCTGCTTTCCTCGTCGGGCGCGGCCGAAGGAAAACCAGTCCAGCGTCTCATGCACCGCTCTCGCCGATTGCGATCGGGAGATCCGCCACCGAACAACGGCCTGCTGACTGTGCCAGCGCGCAGCTAATCAACTTTGCTTCGGCTCGCACTGCACAAGAAGAAGCACAAAGCCTTCTCTCCCGCCTCTTTTCCTCCTCGTACTTCTCGTTTCCCCCTCCTTCTGATCACTTACGTTGCTCGGATTAG